GTCCGTTCTTTTCTGATGAAAACGAATATGAGCTATTACTGGACCGTGCCAACGCGGGTTCAAGGAAAAGACCAGACTTTTCTTGTGTGGTAGATGCCGTGCCAATATTAAACTCAGAGTTTAAGCCATTAGGGTGCACACCACTGCAACAAAAGAAGGATCGTTTAAAAGTTCAGTTAAAGGCCCGAAAATCAATCAATCAGCAACTGGAAAGTAAGGGAGGTCCAGGTGAAGCCGGTATATTCCTAAACATGGGTGTGTATGCTTGAAATGAATGAGATTACATATAAGTTTGTGATATATATATTAAATTATCTTCTGTGATAATTAGGCGATTTGATGGAATCATTTTTTATGGATCTTAAATATGATGGATTATATCGCTCCTGGCCATTTTTCACGACCAAATTAGTAATCGATCAGATCACGATTCCATTAGCAGAGGCTTCAATCATCCATATGATCGCTTTGGAGGTATATTACATATTATCTTAAGAGTTTTATAATAAGTATTTTTCTCATTTCTCTTTACAATTTCAGAAACATGTCGGACAAATTGCGGAAAACTTCAAATATCGAAGTAATCAATTCACGCCATCTGTACAGATGTCCTTTGTGCGTAAACTTCCTGATTCTCCACAAGTAAGGATGTTACTTCATTAGAGTCGATCAATTTACAATAGTAATGTCTGCCTGATTTTATCATCAATAAAACAATGACTGTTTATAATAAAGCGATCTTTTATATCAATTTTTTTTGCTTTTGTGATTTTTACGTGAATTCGTTGAGCAAGATTTTAAATTGACTCTTGAGACCACGCAAAATCTATAATATAATCAGACAGTTAATCCTTCTATTCAAAATATCGCGAGTTCCACATGATCACCCACCGAGACGCGTACGATGACTATTTTTTATAATTATTTATGGACTAAGATTTATATTATTTTTTAACGGGATTACTAGCATTGACCTCAACGCGTCTCTCGTGGAGTACTGATGCAAGCTTGTCATGAAATCAGCTTTAAGGGATTAACAAAGATCTTTTTAATGTAATTAAGAAAAAGCATATGAACACATCTCAATACTTATTGTATTACATACTCCCAACGACACGCTCCTGCGCGGTTTTGAAGTCCTTGACATACTCGCCAGATACATAACCTATTAATCCCAGTCATGCGTTGTGCTTCAGTTAAAGATGGAAATTCTTGAGTAGTGTTATCATCAAAAATCTGCTTGACAGCACGTTGGTTGCAGTTACCCCAAAGTCCGAGTTGTACAGCATGCTGAGAGTTCTCTATTTGTGTGCACCATTCAAGGTTAGATGCTTTATTATTAGTACGATTACCATCAATATGATTTACACATTCTTTGCCTTCTTCTTTGGGGCAAAATGCCAATGCCACTAAACGGTGAACACAATGTTTTTCTCGAGCGATTCTGAGATATCCTGCACTTGGAGATTCTTCAGAAATTAAACCATTGGGAAACTGAACTCTACCTAAGGATGAAACTCTGAATTTCCGTGAATTAAGCTGTATATCTCTCCATTCTTCTTTGGAATTTCGTTCTATGTAATCTTCATAATACATCCAACACCAGCCACTGGAGGTATTTTGCTTCTTTCTACAACATTGAGAAATATTACTCTTTACTATATTAAGAGCATTAGATGCAAGAGTGATAGAATCCCAAATATGAACAACATTCCCATCTAATGACTTTTGTATGATTCGTGTGGAACTACGACCAGGATTTCGAAATACTGTACGCTCAGCATTCTCTTTAGAAGTTACCCATTCCAAATTAATAGCTCGATTATCACACCTAATACCGTTGATATGATTAACATAGAGTTTATTTTCTGGATTAGGGATGAATGCTTGCGCAACCAAAATATGAACTGCGATACTCTTTTTAATGCAATTAACTTTAATCTCAATTCGTACATAACCTTTTCTTTTGCAGGCATTTAGCTTAAATATCATACCTTTTTTGTTCTTGATACGTCCGAGATTTGAAACTAGCAAGTCTGAAGCAGTTTTCACTGGTAACCAAACTTCCATTATGATATCTGCTATTTATCATCATATTTACTTTTTAAATTTAGATCAGACATATCTTTCATAGACTCTGTATTGAAAAAAAAAATTCTGCTTACCGTACCAAATACATGTCCCTTTCCCAAATGTGGAAAAAGTGTCGAGCTTATTGATGAAGCCCAACGACGACGAGACTCCATATCTTCTCAAATAAGTGCAACCTCAACTCTAGCTGATGAATTTAACAGTAATATTGGAATTACTTCTCCACGAATTCCATCCCAGGATCAAGCTATGGATCTGGATGAAGCCGAGCATCGAGTCGAGGAATCATCTAATACAACTACTGTTCCACCACAGAAGCGTGTTAATGACCCCACCTCTACGGATTCATCATCCAGTAAGAAACGAAAGACAACCACTAAGGATGATGAAAACCCTATGCTAAAAAAACTTATCAAAGAGTTAAAAGATAATAGTACCATTCCTGATTTGACATTTGCATCTCATATATCTTCAGATAGTTATACTTATCTTTATCGAGAAATCGTTAAAGCAGAAGCTGAAAGTGACATTATAAGTCGAAATGTTTTAATCTGTTATTTTCAGTTTGGGAAAAAGATATCGGAACGTTTGGAATATTATAAAAATGAAAGAAAATATCGAGATCGTATGGCTCAGAGTAAAGTAGATAAAGAAGTTAAGGAGCAACTTCCTAAAGAGGTTAAAGATAATACACGTTCGAAGCAATCAGAAAGAGCACGAAAGATATATGAACTTTTCATTGAAATCGGTGTTGATAAAATACAACGAGTTAAATCTTATTCAGCATTAACCATTTCAAAATTAAGTTGGGAGAAAATCGATTATATTATTGATAGTTTTAAAAAGTAGAATATATACTGCGCCACACGATCACGTGTCATACTGACCGCTGGGTCATCAAGAATCGTACCAATTTTGTAATGAAATCTAAATAAAGCATTTATTAGTTTGCCCACATCAGGCTTTTATTTTTTAATCATGTGTGCATGTGCATCGGAAAAATAAAGTATCGTCATGCTATTAAAATTGCTGATATCGAATATCAATGCGTGCATATGATTTAGAATTAGTTTAGACTTAAAGTTTATCATACCAGGCTTTTTATTTTTAAACAATGATTGCGATACATGAATAATCCGTGTGATCGAAAACAGCTAGTATTATTAATAACCAACTATATACATGAATTGGAATTTATCTACAATAAAACATTTCTCGGGTTGCGACTCAGTAAAGCTTCAGAGATAAAACCTCATTTCGGGTTTGCCAATTTTTTGTATTGAGCCGGTTGGCCATTTCTTGGGGGTTCGAGATCTTTCGGATTAAGAAATATTAGAAATATGTGTCAGAGACACTAGCTCCGCTATTCGATATGCCTAAAATCAATACTAACTACACTTACCCAGGTTATCTCGCCTCGAATTTTTCAATTTTATCTGATAATTTTCGGGGCATAACTTGGGAGGAGAGTATTTTGGTGGTGACTCGTCTTTAGATGCGTTAGTATCCCCACTCCGTGAGTCATCACCACGATTCATATCTAACTCGCAATCAGAAAAAAGAGAACCAAATCTCCGTTTTTGTTTAATGACTGTGCTATGCACGTAAAATACGACACTATGTCGGGTCCCTGTGATTATCGGAAGGTTTCCGTGAATTAAAAGGTTAGATCGAAAAGCTATTCCATGACCTTCCTTAGCATGAATAGACAATTTTAATTCGGGAAAAGTTAATTCTCCTCCTTCGAATATACCGAGGGGACAAACGACGCAGAGTGTATTTCGATGATCTTTTAGGTCCCTATGAAACTGGGAGATCGTGTTATAGTTGATACCAACGGTAGGAAAAGCACCGAATGATTTAGGAACGTTTGGCCCGAGGTTGAGATTCTTCATCTTGGCTTATAGAGTTGGATAGGTATTTTGAAAATAATTATTGACCACAATTGAGAGAGGTTGGAGTCCGTGGATTAGTTCTTGAACACAGGTGAGATGTTCTCGGAAATGACTAGAGGCAGTATTGGCAGTAGTGTAAGGCACGTTATTACTATCGGTAAACCCACAAAAATGTTCTATCATATTTTTGGCGAATTGTTTAGACTGATGGGAGGGGTGATTAAGGGTGTGATTATAATAATGGTTAATTACAATTTGTGCATTTTTTGCAACTAGAGGATTGGCGAGATCGAAGAAGTCCACGACAGTTTCCCCAAAAGCATTCTTGAAGCATCTCGGATTAAAGATGTGGAGATAACATTCAAGATCGATGCCGTGCGCGACCTTTTTTGTTGTTTCATGTGCTATGTAGAGTTTATCCTTCGGATTCTGTTGAAATACTTCACGAATATTATGATCTTCTAGTGGTTTATTTTGAGCTTCTTCGTATTCATATCCATGCTTAACTTTATACCAGAGACGACGACAATGATCACGAAATTGTTTTCTGAAATTTGGGCCAATGAAAAAACATGCCCAACGTGCGAAGTCTCCCCATATTTTTTTTCGCTCTAAATCGGCAGAGCTGGCATCGCCAAAAATCGTGGACGTAGAATCGGCAGAATTGTTATTACCAAAAATTTCTGTCTCCAGAAGATGCATAAAATCCACAGGTATTACGAAGGTGGTTGATATCGATTGACTACTTTGAGGTAGTAAAGATTTTTCGCTAACACCATTTTTATATAGTTCGCCGTAAATAGCATCTGAAAGTATATCCAACTGGGAGATAGAAAGTGCGCCAAAATTAAGTGTATAAGTGTTATGCTTTACAGTATCCGGAGTGAGCAGGCTTTGATTAACTAACTTTCTAACAATCTGTCTTTGCGATCTCTTCTCGAGGAACTTCTCCAGAAATGTAAATTTGGGTGATATAATATTGGTAGGTTGATAGATATTGGTAGATTTAAGATCGGTAGCTAAGAAATCCTCGGATATCCATAGGGAACGAATATATTCTCGCGATTGATCTTCTGTAGATAGACGCGTCTCCAATTGGGTTTTGTGCTAAAGTAAAAAATTTATTAAAATTAAGTAATTGGTCACAACCGTAACGAAATAAAGTTTTCTTGGGGGTACAATTAAATCACTCATTACAATGTAGTTCAGTGGATTTTAAACCGTGGGAAGTCTTCGCGACCTTCCTCTCCTCACTACGCTTTGCTTAGAGAACAACGACCACCGCCGAGAAAAAAGAGACAGAAAAATATAAGAATTATGAAGTGAAGTTTTTCGCACTCGCACTAGGCAAGTACTGGGAGGGAACAGTCGGATCCTAGGCCTGCCTCGAAAGGCGATAACTGCCCCTAATCTTCGCTTCATATCGAACCATAAAAATAACGCGACCACTAAATATATCCCACTAATATAACCATATAACCTCAACTTACTTTTTTTTCGTCATAGAATATATTCAGTCGTTTGTCTCGGTCGTCTTGGTCGTCGTTGGGTGTGGTGTCTTGCTCATCGTCGGAATCGGGTGTGGGTTTTTCGTCAATTGATTGGTTAACTGGTCCCTGAAGCCTTGCCTTCTTTATACGTCGTTGCTCCTTCCTTCGTAAATTCCGTTTTGATGCTTTCGTTAGCACCACTTCGTTTTGCGGGAGGGATTTTGACTTGACCTAGGCACTTCAACACGTCGACACGTAAGGTAAGTGAGAATAATTCTAAGAAAAAAAGATTATCGTTGATCAGCATTTATATATACGGTATATCCAAATTTTGACACGTGATAATTCCGATATCTGCTAAATGAACTTCGATCGTTTAATTAATCAAGGTTAACATTCGTTTCTTCTATGTAACGATCACATATCTTATCACGACTCATCATGGTTGAATCGTGGTTCAATCACGGTTGATAAAAATAAAGATTTTCCAATATATTTATGGGCAGAGCCCAGTGTCTTCGACACATATAAATCAATGCACAATCACGGCCCATCATGGGTTGCATCACGGTTGATTAAAAAAGCGATGCTGGGGTATAAGTTGGGTCACGATGTAATCAAGTAGTTATTTTTTTTCTTGTGCTTTTGCCGTAACTCTATCTCTTTCTGTAAATTTAATGGAGTATCAAACCTTAACCGAATTGCAAGTTCATCATCCTCAGGTTTATCCAGATCAAATACAATGAACTCACCCTTACGTAGATAACTATTAATAACCATTGAAGCATTTTTCACATCATCACTATATCGACCAACAATTTTGGAAACGTCTTGGGGTGAACTGCCACCATTAAACATTACTAAATATGAAATATTTTCCCGAATAATTACTGGGACATGATGGTATTTTTGTGTTACATAAATTGGACTAATATTTCGATGACGCCCATGTGTAAAGAATGGAATAATTCGATTTTGTATTGACTCTGGAGCAACACATAGATCCTCAAAAATAATCACCGTACTTCTCTCTGGTGAAAATGATTTTACACTAGGGATTTTTTCAGGTGGGATGTAACTGAATCTAATATTTTCGTAATATGGTGCTCTTGGATTACTTGCAATTATTCCATACATATATCTAACAAATGCCCACTTAGGTTCATCCGGATGATATCCACAAACTATCAAATCATCGCACCGTATATATCTAGATCCACCCTTTTTCCCTTTATATATACATTCACCTTTGTCACCAAGAACAAGATTTCCGAGTATATTAGTCTTACCTGTACCACTTTTTCCTGTAGCTAGCATGGCAAAGGGACAGTCTGGTGAGGCTTCATGTCCTTTGCAACGAGATGAAGCATGCTTTGTTGCCTCATCAATATCCATAAGTAAAAGTTTCATTTTCTTCATGATTATTTCTATTAAAAGGTAATATATATTTCTCAATAATTTGCGGTGAATATTTGTTATTGGATATCGATTTATGTTTGGTTAAAAAATATTTGTACAGAAACCATATAATAAATATTACTATTATGACAAAGAGGCCTAGCTTGTTAATAGGAGATGTTTGATATTCATTGTTAATAAGATATTTGCTTGCACCTAATGCTTCAGCCCCTCCAATTGTGATATCTTGGATCAAAGATTTTGGGTTCTGCTCATTTGCAATAATTGGTATTGTTTCGTTTTTTATTACTAGGTCATTTTTTACATTGGATATATCATTAGTTGAAGACTCTTGACTAGTTTGGGGAGTATCTATTTTTTCTACCTGTTCTATTTTCTTTCTGCATACAAGATACTTTGCGAGATTTTTTTCATTATCTCCACTAATTACAGATTCTAATGGCAACTCTACCTGATCAGATGAAATTTGAGTTATGGATTCTGATTCCAATTCAGTTATTTTAGATTCGAGAGATAAAATCTCAAATTCTTTTTTTGATGAGTATTTTTGAGCTAAAGATAATTCTTCTTCCAATGACTTGATCCTAGATTGGAATGAATTTGCTTCTCCCAGTTTAGTATAATACTTGGTTTTATACTCAATAAGGTTGGTAATTTTGCTTTTTAACTCTTTGATTTCTTCTTTGAGTTGTTTTTTAATCAAGTCATTTTGATTTTTATCATCAATATGCCGATTTATTTTTTTTTGGAGATGTAAAATCTTGTCATTTTTTTTCTCCAGCTCTTTAGTAATCACATCAGATCGTGCTTCTGCAAGAGCTTTAGCATTTCTAAATTCGGAACATTTATTAGCAAAAAATTCTGTTTCAAGAAGTAACTCATTACATTGAGATTCAAGCTCACGTTCTCTAGTACTATTTAATTTATATCCACGCCCTTGAAAATTTTTGGTATCAGTAGATTCTTTATACAAGGTATGTATTGATGCCATATAATTGAAAAGAATTATGTTTACTAGTTCTATATAAAAAGAAACCTGGGCAAGAATTGGTAATTAACTGGTTTCATATAAAAAAGAAACTGGGCAGAAATTGGTAATCAACTGGTTTTATAGAAGTATACTATTTCACGTTTGAATGTTTTTTGCAAATGTAAATAGGCCTACAATCAAATAATATCTGATTATTGCCTGGTTTTTAACCAGACTTTATCTGATTATTGCCTGGTTTTTGCCCAGTCTTTTTCTGATTATTGCCTGGTTTTTGCCCAGTCTTTTTCTGATTATTGCCCGATTTTTGCCCAGTCTTTTCCTGATTATTATCCAATATTTATCTGGATTTAAGTCAGATATTTTATATATTTTTTTATATATTTCTAAAAATGATTAACTCTAATACTAGACATCGAGTTCGAGCATATCTCAATTCTAATGCTACCCCATTATCTCCTGAAGCAATCGAAAAAATAAGAGATGTTCATGCAAAAAAAATACCAAATAGAAAACGCAATATGTGTAGAGATTATAAAATTGGTAGTGAAAGATATGATGATATTGTAAATGGTCGAATATACCCTCAAGCACCTGAAATAGAAATAATATCTATTAATTCATCTATCTCGATATCTCAACCAGAAATATTGCCTATACATAGCTCATCAAGTGCCAGAAATCCTGAGCAACTAATTCCTTTGAGCAAATCAGCAATAAAAAAAACTATTAGAAAAAAGAAGATCTTGCCGAACGAGGAACCTCCTAGTTCTAATATTGATAAAACAAACTCTGTCAGGGAATTATCTAAAGGTGAAGATCTATCAAAATCAAAAACTATAAATCATTCTATCTTACCAGAGAATGATGTGCAAACCAGAATGGCAAATTTGCGTGAATATAAAAAACAGCTTCAAAATGAATCTTGAAATCGTATCAATTCCTTTTCAAGATATTCCACATAATCAAGGGCTCTAATAAATTCTTTTTTAATAGTTGCTTTATTTTCTAGATCCTTCATACTTGATATAATTTGAATCTTGGAATGGAATTCTAGTTTGAGAAAGAAATCGAATTGTTTGTCAGAATCTTTTATGATTTTTTTTTTAATTCTTCAGTAGATAAATCAGAGACTTGCGACTCAATCTCTTTATTAAGAGTTGATTTCTCTTTAGTATCGGTCTTGGTAGAAGAATTTGAGGTTTGCTTGTCAGTATCATTGTCCTGTACCGTAATAGCGTGAAAGCTTGATGGCCTACTAATCTCGGTAGGTTTTCTAAATGTTGGAATAATATAGGTCTTTCCATGTATTTCTATGCTAAATATCTTTTTATCAACATCTGGGACACACTTAGCTTTTCGAATCCATGCCATACCTAAACAAATCATAGGATCTGGTTCCCCATTATCAATACGTGCAAAATTTCCTGTAACAGTAACAGTTTTTCCTTCCTTATCTTTTAAAGAAATTGGTACGTCTGTATGCCATTCTAATGATTTGTCAACATGTTCTGAATTACCTTTATATGAGAAGTTGAATGGTAGATCGGGTTTCCATCCTAATGCTTCTCCAAATGCGTTATTTACTGCATTAAATTCACTCCCTAGGTCGAGGTAAGTATTGTAAATCGTCAAATCACATACATAGCAAACTAAATATTGGAGAGATTCAAACCATTCGTTTGTTTTCTCACTATCTACGGGACAATTCATTTCTGATTTCTTAGCAGTAAACGAAAATTTGCATATTCTTTGCATTGCTGGTGATAATGAGGGTAATAACTGATCATATGTTTTGGGGATTATATCAATTTGAGACTCACCTTTCTCCGGAGGCTTATCAACTATTGGTAATGGTCGTTTTTTTTTCTGGAGCATTCCATCTATTCTCTTCCTCATTGTATCCACTTTCATCTGAATCGTATTCATCTAAATCAGGAGATATATTTTGACTTTGCCAGCTCTGCTGAGATTGTATAGGCTTGAGAGGTGGAAAGTATCGATGTGTGAAATTCGATTTAGCAACGGGTTCTTGCTGAGAAGTTAATTCTGGACAATAATTTTTCCTATGCCCTTCTTGCCCACAGTTACTACAATAAAAAGGTTTTTTGGGTTGATTATCAAGTGACATTTTACTGAACTGGTTGGTTAATTGACCTACTGAATCAGCTACTTTCCCTACTACCGATTCTAATCTATCTATTCTTGCAGATTGATTTGATGAACGCAATTTTTCTGGTTTGGGCTGTATAGGAGGAGGGCCATACATCTTTATAAGCTCTTGCCATGTCTCTTCATTGGTAAGACTTGGTCTAGGATCTCCCTGACTTGCATAATGTTCATGTATTTCTTCATAATTTTTTGGTGGTACGGGTGGACGAGATTTTTTAGATTGTTGAGCCATTTTTGTTTCGAATTCAGTTTTCAATTTTTCCAACTCAGCCTTGGATTCAGCCTTCTGTTTTTCCAACATAGCTTGAAAGGATTTTTGCATTTCATTATTAGATGGCCCAGATTGCACTACTACGTCGGGAACAGCAGAAGAAATAGGTTCATAGCGGGATTGTAACGGTGCTTGTTTTAGTATTCCGTGACGTAATTCGAGTTCAGCTAAACTATCAATAATATCATTAATGGGTTTGGTTTGACCGATTCTATAAATTTCATCTCTAATATCAGATCTAACTCCTGATAAGAAATGGGTTTTCTTCTGTGCTGGAGTATAACCAAGTTGATCGCCATATTTTTGTATTTTTGCCCAGAATGATGGTACGCTCTCATATGTGCCTTGTCTTAATGCACCAATTTCTAACATTTTTACATATTTATTAGCAGTTGGATAATGTTTTTTTATCCGGTAAAGTCTTTGCCCAGATCGAATTCCTGGAAGAACAATAGGAACTCCTCCTCCAGCGTTTGGTGCAACTGGTACAGCATTAGTTGGATGACCACCTGCTACTGTCCAATCTTCTGCAACATTCCGAGCAGGAATAATATCAGCACCTGCAAGACCTAGTGGAACGTTTGGAAAAGAAGCACCTGCACCTGTTATAGCTCCAGCATTGGCCGCCCGAATAGCTGTAATATTTGCACCTATACCCGAGTTATCAAGTACATTTTCCAACTCCCAATTTTTATTGTCAAATTCTCTATGATACCATTCTCTTGCTTCTCCTTTTAGAGACCTGTCTAATATAGTGAGAATATTTGCATCGTTATTTACTCCTGCCAAAGTAATATATGATATGAATCTATCTACGAAATCTTCGTGATCTTCATCACCACCAGGAAATTCTGGTTGTACAAATCCTACAGGTAATGCCATCGGTTGATTTTCAGGTAAGTTATTCTGGAGATTTAAAATTTGTCCACGCAAATTTAAAATTAATTGTTCACCATTTCGAGTACGAGTTTTCCACTTACCCCATTTTATATCCAACTGGAGATCACTTAAAAATAAATCATCCTGACATGTATCTAGCTTAAGTTGTAAGTTCCTACTATTGGTATGACATGTGTTTAGTCTTGTTTGTAAGTTCCTACCATTGGTATGACATCGCTGTAATAATAATTGTATAGCGAACTTTTCTCGAATTAATTCACCAACACGTCTATTTTTATCACGATATGAAAACCACCAGCGACGACGCATATCTCTTTCATTATTATAAGCAGTAGTCATCAAAGTAAGATCATTCTGGGAATTTGTAAGTTCTGTTTGACGTAAATCTCTCTCTGCCTCAGCATCATAACGATTCCGCTGTTCATTTATAATATCATTTTGTAAATTAGTATATTTACGCCTGATCTGTCTAGTGACTCTTTTTATTTGATTTACTAAAATCCCCCTATTTGTTGTAGCATTATTTAGGTAACCGTCTATGGTATCTACTAATTCTGGAATTGTAGTCATATTAGAATCGGAAGTATATGAATCTGGAGAAATTGTATCAAGATCTTGTGTTTCTTCATTTTCATCTTGGATTAAAAAATCTGGTAAAATTTGTGATCCTAAACTCGAATTTTCACTACCTTCTGCTAATATCTCATCTAATAAACGACTTTGCCTTTGTCCAGGCTCCAATGCCTCTTCCATACCTAATTCCAATGTTCGTAAGCGAGAATCATCAGTTGATGATCCTGATAAAAAACTCGTTTCTGCATCAGGTACTTCTAGCATATCATATAAATTTTGATTTGTGTCATCGGCAGTTTGTAAAGCATCCCGCATATTATGGAGCTCCCGTCTATCGTGATAATGTAATATTCTTATAGCGAAATTTTGACAATGCAGATCAGTTATACGCCTTTTTTGTCGAGCTATTTGATTATTTCGTTCAGTAAGATGTTGTCGCAATCTCCCATTCTCTTGATTGAGTTGCTCTATCGTATCTGTCATTTCTATCAAGTTATTATAAGTTTGAGGAGAATTTCTTCCGGATGTGGATAGTTCTTTGATTCTACCTTTAAGCTTGGATTCCCTCTCATCAAACTCAGCCAATTGATTTTCTCTAGTGATAAGATTCTTATCCTTTTGCTTGATTTCCTTTCTAGTTTGATATAGTGATTTTTTTAGATCTGAGATTTCTTTCTGTAACTCTATCTTCTCTTGGCTAGAAAGTGATATAACGCTTTCAAGCTCCTCTTCCAGATATCGGATCCTTTCTTCACGTATAGTTATCTGCTTTTCAAGACTATGATTTTTATATTCATAATTCCTATTTGATTGAGCCAGTCGCTCGAGCTCTTCATGTAATTCCTGATTAACTTGCCGTAATTCCTCCATGATTATTTTTTACAGATTATTAATACTTGAAAGGAATGGAACAAGAAACAAAGTTTCGAATCTCTGATTCATCCGTAATTTATATCGATCCACAGAGGGCCCACGATTTGGATAGGGAGATTACATTGCGGAAACTATATTATAAACCCGAAGGTTATTATCAGACTGCTGAAAAAATGCGTGATGCTTGTAAAAGGGCTGGACATAATTTTTCGTTAGCCGTCATAAAAGATTGGTTAAACAAACAGGCTTTATATCAAATTCATAAACCTCGACCACGATTTATTCAGTATGCTTCTTTTAATGGCATTCAAGATTTAAATGAAATGCATCAATCTGATCTTACTCCTATGCCTCATGACAAAATTAGAAATCGAATTTTTAAGTATAGACTTGTAATAAAAGACGTGGCAACAAGATATCGTAAAAGTTATGCATTAACTAATAAATCGGCTTCTACAGTTGCTAAAGCAATTAAAAAAATTTATGATGATCCTAACAATCCTCTTTCTTGGCCTAATGTTTTTAGAACTGATAAAGGTACTGAGTATTTAGGTGTGTGTAAAGATTTATTATTAAAACATGGCGTATATTTTGATCCTAAAAAATCTAAAGAAAGTAATGCTTTAGCAGAGCGCGATAATCAAGAATTTGAAAAACATGCTTTCATTCGCCAAGATGCTGTAGATTTTCACTTACCTTTGTCTGATAGGTCTAGAGCATGGGTTAAAGATCTTTGTATTAATGATAATACTTTTAATAATACTCCAACCAGATTAATAGGTATGTCTCCTAATGAAGCAGTAAAAAAAGCTTTAAAAGGAGAGAAAATAATAGCCAAACCTGCTGTTAAACATAAAAGACCTATTGGATTTGATGAACCTCGATTAAGCTATAAAGATTTTGTTCGATATTTACTTAAATCTGGAGAATTGGAATTTGGTAATAGACGAATAACTGATATGAATTGGTCTCCTAAAGTTTATCGTATTAAAGAATCCTTAATACAAAAAAATCAACCAGTGCTATACTGGCTTATGGGTGAAAATGGTGATAGCCCTGAAAGATCCTTTGTAAGAGAACAATTGATGATAGTTAAGGAAGTTGAATATCCACCTAAATGGATCCTTAAACAAAATTAAATTACTCGTCTATAAGTATATCTTCAATAGCTTTCTCAATTTCTGTTTCAGTCATAGGCCGATCTTTTTTGGAAAGCTCATAATAAAGATTATATAAATCTTCTATACTGGTAAGTAGTTCCTTTTTACTTTGAAACCAATTTCTATATCTTGCCATTCTTCTATTATATGCTTCATCATTTGGAAAAAGCGTTATTGCTGTATATTTTATATACTCATCTTGGTTATCTGCATTACGTAAATTTTTTACATATCCTACATATTCACTAATAAGTTTACTATTTTTTCTATATCAAAGATGAAAAGCCTCTTTTATTATTTTGATTTGTGCTGATTCAATCATTTTTCATATAATATCTTGTATCATTAACTCTGAGTCCTGCTCATTTATTAAACTTGAACTATTGTCTGTTATACTTGGTTTATACTTACTTCGTATTTTGTTTTATATATTATAAGTTTTATTTAATATGAGTTTTATTATTTAATAGTGGAGCTAATGTCATAGACACATAAAAAAATATACACTCGGACCCAAAAAGGCGACCCTAAAGGGTGATGCTTCTTACTAACAAATAATAAAATTATAAAAAGTTAGATTGTTTTTCTATCGATAAATGAATTGATAGGTATATTCTTTTCATTAATCATAATTTTTGGATATTTGCTTGCTATCTGATCTATTATTTCATTTGTTATTCGTTCACAATTTTGTATTTTTATAGTTTTTATATTTGCACATTTTTGTGGTATACTTAAGATTGTTTTTGGTGCTATTCGATTACTTCCATAAATAAATATATGTCTTAAATTTTTACATATATCCAATGTCATCTTTAATGAGTTATTGTTAAGTAATCCCCAACCACAATCCTTAAATAATAAAATAATAATATCTTGACATATATTTATAATATCTTCTAGTAGGAATTCATTCATATTATAGTAATTGTCTATTCTTTTGAATTCTATTTGTCTTATATATTTTATTGGATTTGGTAATGGTTTCTTTTTTAATAAATTAACAAAATTTCTAATATTGTATCTATATAATGTAATTCTTCTCCATATTAAATATGTTGCACATTCATTCCATCATTTATTAACATATAAAACTGGAAACAATAATTCATTATTAGCACACTCCTTGTCTAATCTATTATTTTGTATTCGTAAATGTTGGAATATTTCCATTATAATTTCGTTTGGAAGATTTATATCTATTTTTTTAGTTATAATCTGCATCGACTTCGAGTTCTGCTTTTTATCTTTTTGTATTTGTTTGAAGTCTGATTCAATATTATTTGTGAGTAAATTTGGGATTTCTGGATAAGATGGCTTCCATATAACACTTATACAATTTTTTACTATACAAATTCCTCTTTTCTCGAATTTTAGGTCACCTATTTCTATTCCTGTTTTAAGCTCTACTTTTTCAGCTACAATAAATCCATCTGTATGTATACGTTTTACCTGGTCTCCTAAAGGTTTTACAATTTCAGATATTGTTTTTCGAGCTGATGCTAGCAAGAAGGGTTTTATTCATGGATGTGCTCCATAATTTTGTCCATTTCTTTGTTCACATAAGGCACCCCATAATGAAACTAATAATGCTTTACTTACTTTTCCTGCTATTTCACCTTCTTTCTTAATGTTGTATAATATATTTCCCCATTTACCAAACATATTACTTCCATTAATATGAGTATTTTTTTCATATATAAGTGCATTTGGTGATTCATTCATTAAATATACTTTTAGACCATTCTCCTTAGCACATTCTAAATCATAATGCGTGTAAATTCCATATGGATTATATCGCAAATATCTCGTGCATTGAAAGCTTTTCTTTGGAGGATTTCCTTCTATTGTTGCTTTATAAATCCCATATGGAAATTTACTCCATTTTTTGAAAAATATGAGTTTATAGTATGAAACTTACCTGATATAATTGGTCATGATGCTTCTTTTTTTATCATTTCAAATATATACATTGAATTCATATCATATTGATTAGCTTCTCCTTCATATCGTTCTGCAGATATTAAAGGACCAGTTGATGCTAGTTGTATCCATGCATTTTCCTGCTCACTTATTTTTTCACTTTTTAATGGTGCTAAAGTAGTTTCTTTGAAAAGTTTTATAGTTGTTAATGTATAATTTCCTGATTTGCGCATATCAATTCTACCATTAATTTTTTTAGAAATAGCTTCAGACTCATCAATAATTCTTGTGTATGCTCCTATACTTGTTTCTCCATTATCTGCTTTAATAAAATAATATTTATTATATATTGCATGAAAGTCGCCTTTAACTCCATACCATTTTCTTTTTCCATCATAAAATTCTATACCGTTTGCTATATTTTTATAAATTAATATACCATTATTTTGCTTTATAGTAGGTCCTATCTCTGGATCTACCGCCCGCCTACTTTTTGTTCCGATTGGCTGGTGCGTCGACTGGTTTTCGTCAAATGATATGAGATCGCCTTCCGGGGTTGGTGTTGGGGCTTGATTTTGCATTGGAATCAGATTTTCAGCTGGTGGCGCATTTTGTGCCGGAATCGGAGTTGGGTTTTCAGCGAGAACTTGAACGGCTGGATTTCCTACTGGAATTGGGAGTTGAGGAAGATTCTTAGGACGGCAAGGATTTTTTCGATTTAAATGTTGTTGATATTTCTAATAAGTGGAAAGATTTAATCCACATTTATCACAAGTTGTATTTTTAACCATCGTGTATAAAAAGTATTATATATTACTTTATAAAATCTTTACTTTAATTAATTATTTATCCTAATCAAATATGATCGGTGAATATACCTGCCAATATATATATAATTCTGGTAAAATTTGTTGTGCTTTGTGTACACGTCCTGAGGGATGCCGTCTTCATTATAAGACAAAAAAATGTGTACTTTGTCCTGATTGTGGAAAACCAACTGTTTCTGCTTATGGATGATGCAAAATTCATAAAAGAGGATATTATGTTACATCCTATTATCAAAGACTTCGTGAAAAAGCTTTAGAAAATATACATCAGAAATGAAATTAAGCGCGTAGCTCATTTCTTCTGCGGTGCAGGACGCCTTTAGGCATCTGAAATAGAATTTTTGGTTAAATTGGTGTACCTAGAGCAGAGCTCATGCCAGAATAGGCATAAATTTACTACTCATTTTTATTGTCTTTTTTTCTGATTATGAGCTAAATAAAAAACT